GAAATTCAGAAATTTAGAAATTCAGGAATTCAGAAATTCAGAAATTCAGAAATTCAGAAATTCAGGAATTCAGAAATTCAGAAATTCAGAAATTCAGAAATTCAGAAATTCAGACGTTCAGGAATTCAGAAATTCAGACGTTCAGAAATTCAGAAATTCAGAAATTCAGAAATTCATATTATTCAGAAATTTAAAAATTCGACAATTCAAAAATTCAAAAATTCAAAAATTCAAAAATTCAGAAATTCAGAAATTCAGAAATTCAGACGTTCAGAAATTCAGAAATTCAGAAATTCAGAAATTCAGAAATTCAGAAATTCAGAAATTCAGAAATTCAGAAATTCAGAAATTCAGAAATTCAGAAATTCAGAAATTCAGAAATTCAGACGTTCAGAAATTCAGAAATTCAGAAATTCAGAAATTTAGAAATTCAGGAATTCAGAAATTCAGACGTTCAGAAATTCAGAAATTCAGAAATTCAGAAATTCAGAAATTCAGAAATTCAGAAATTCAGAAATTCAAAAATTCAAAAATTCAAAAATTCAAAAATTCAAAAATTCAGAAATTCAGAAATTCAGAAATTCAGACGTTCAGAAATTCAGAAATTCAGAAATTCAGAAATTCAGAAATTCAGAAATTCAGAAATTCAGAAATTCAGAAATTCAGAAATTCAGAAATTCAGAAATTCAGAAATTCAGAAATTCAGACGTTCAGAAATTCAGAAATTCAGAAATTCAGAAATTTAGAAATTCAGGAATTCAGAAATTCAGACGTTCAGAAATTCAGAAATTCAGAAATTCAGAAATTCAGAAATTCAGAAATTCAGAAATTCAGAAATTTAAAAATTCGACAATTCAAAAATTCAAAAATTCAAAAATTCAGAAATTCAGAAATTCAGAAATTCAGACGTTCAGAAATTCAGAAATTCAGAAATTCAGAAATTCAGAAATTCAGAAATTCAGAAATTCAGAAATTCAGACGTTCAGAAATTCAGAAATTCAGACGTTCAGAAATTCAGAAATTCAGGAATTCAGAAATTCAGAAATTCAGAAATTCAGAAATTCAGAAATTCAGAAATTCAGAAATTCAGAAATTCAGAAATTCAGAAATTCAGAAATTCAGAAATTCAGAAATTCAGAAATTCAGAAATTCAGAAATTCAGAAATTCAGAAATTCAGACGTTCAGAAATTCAGAAATTCAAATTCAGAAATTAGAAATTCAGGAATTCAGAAATTCAGAAATTCAGAAATTCAGAATTCAGGAATTCAGAAATTCAGAAATTCAGAATTCAGAAATTCAGAAATTCAGACGTTCAGAAATTCAGAAATTCAGAAATTCAGAATTCAGAATTCAGAAATTCAGACGTTCAGAAATTCAGAAATTCAGAAATTCAGAAATTCAGAAATTCAGAAATTCAGAAATTCAGAAATTCAGAAATTCAGAAATTCAGAAATTCAGACATTCAGAAATTCAGAAATTCAGAAATTCAGAAATTCAGACATTCAGAAATTCAGACGTTCAGAAATTCAGAAATTCAGAAATTCAGAAATTCAGAAATTCAGAAATTCAGAAATTTAAAAATTCGAAGATTCAAAAATTCAAAAATTCAAAAATTCAGAAATTTAAAAATTCGAAAATTCAGAATCTTTGGATCCTTGAATCCCTGTATCTTCAAATCCCTCGATCCTTGAATTCCTGAGTCCCTAAATTCCTGGATCCCTCGATAACTGAATCCCTGAATCCCTGCATCCCTGAATCCTTGAATCCCTGAATCCCTGAATCCCTGCATCCCTGAATCCTTGAATCCCTGGATCCTTGAATCTTTGAATCTTTGGATCCTTGAATCCCTGTATCCTCAAATCCCTCGATCCTTGAATTCCTGAATCCCTAAATTCCTGGATCCCTCGATAACTGAATCCCTGAATCCCTGCATCCCTGAATCCCTGAATCCCTGAATCCCTGAATCCCTGAATCCCTGAATCCCTGCATCCCTGAATCCTTGAATCCCTGGATCCTTGAATCTTTGGATCCTTGAATCCCTGAATCCCTGAATCCCTGAATCCCTGAATCCCTGAATCCCTGAATCCCTGAATCCCTGAATCCCTGCATCCCTGAATCCTTGAATCCCTGGATCCTTGAATCTTTGGATCCTTGAATCCCTGTATCCTGGAATCCCTGTATCCTCAAATCCCTCGATCCTTGAATTCCTGAATCCCTGAATTCCGGGATCCCTCGATAACTGAATCCCTGGATCCTTGATTCCCTGGATTTTTGAATCCCTGAATCCCTGAATCCCTGCATCCCTGAATCCTTGAATCCCTGGATCCCTGAAAATATCAGCCAGGACCAATATTTGTAGACTTCTAGGATCCCACCTCCTTCCCCTAATCCTTTTTTTTTGTTCCATCTACAAATTTTTTTTGTTCCATCTACAACGTCATCGCGTTGCGTTGCGAGGACCGCTTTTCTCCCCATCTCCCTTTCTTCTGCAAAATTTTTTGTCTTTATTGCGACATTCCGAAATAACACATGAGAATTTTTTTTTTTTGGAATGTCTATTTATGAGAAATCTCTCATCTCTGCCCTTCTGCTCTCTTTTCTTTTTTCTTGTATACTTATAATACAGAGAGGTGTCCCCATCATAAAAAGTGCTAACCATCCCCTCATTCATCCTCCTCATTCCGCAAACTCTCACACTGTCTGCGTCACTCACTCTCTTATTCATTTATACAAAAATCTTACTTTGAAAATTTGCCTCTCTTCTAATTTTACATTTCTTTTTCTAGTCATCTTAATTATTTTCTTCCAACGCGTTTTCAGATTTTGAAGCCGAAATTTAGGATTTTTTCTATTTTTTCGAAATGTTTCTTTTAGTCATGTTTTTTTTCAAAAAGTAGCAGTTCTCAAAAATTTCCAAATTCGAGATTTTCAGAGAATAACAATCAAATATGTCTTACACTATCTGCGACTCTCAATCTCTCATCTATTTCTACAAAAATGTGATTTGAAAGATATTCGTTCCATGTAGTGATTCATTTTCTTACTTGACAAATTGTTTTCTCTTTCTATTCAAATATTGTTTTTAATTACAGTAATACCAAGTCCCCCTATCAACATGGGCAAGTCCAACAATTATTTGAATTGCGCCATCTGCAAAAAGATCTGTACAACGGGAAATCGTAAGTCCAGTTTGACCTCATTTATCCAGTTACCTATGAGTGATATGAAAAATCTGTCAACTGACAAAATAATGGTGATAATATGATAAACATTTTATCAGTTGGACATTTTTTGATATCTTTTACAGAAACTGAGATAATACTGTTTGAAATTGATAGAATGTTTCCTCTAATAGAAGCTCGCCTCATTCGTGGAATTCAGTTCAATTATCACGATTCCTATGATAGATATCAAAAATCTGTCAATTGATAAAATATTGGTAATATCATGATAAATGTTTTATCCGTTAACACCTTACTGATATCTCTTACAGAAACTGAAATAATACTGTTTGAAATTGATAGAATGTTTCCTTTAATAGAAGCTCACCTCATTCGTGGAATTCGAGCTCAATTATCACGATTCCTATAAGAGATATAAAAAATCTGACAACAGATAAAATCTTGCTTGTATTATGATAAACATTTTAATAGCTTGTCCATTTTTGATATCTTTCCCAGAAATTGAGATAATTAAGCGGAAAGTGTGGTGCCTGAATTTTTTGTTCTTCTAAAAAAAATATCTGGAATTTTTAGAACTGAGAAGGCACCAAAAGTCGATTCATGTCGGTAAATGGACTCACGAATGTAATGTATGTCTCAAAAAGTTTCATTCCGAGTCGAGCCTTCGTCTTCATCAGTTGAGTCATGCATCCACGAGAGACCAGAAATGTCCCGAATGCGCCAAATGCTTCAAGTGAGTTTATTTTAATTTTCTGGGGCCTTAACCGTAAAACCTGCGATAAAAGGACCCACTAACTTTGGGTCCGCTTATCTCGATTCCTATGAGAGATATAAAAAAGTTTTAACTAGAAAATTGTTCATCATAATGCCATCAATAGTTTATCAGTTACCAAATTTTTTATATCTTTCATGGGAACCGAGATAATTGATTTCAAAGTGCACGCATAGGATGAGCTTCTATTAGAGCCAATGTGGGATCAACTTCAATAAAATTTATCTCAGCTCCTGTGAAAGATGTGAAAATGTTGTAAACTGATAAAATGCTACTGATATTATGATAAACATTTTATCATTTGACAACTTTTTGATATCTTTCAAAAGAAGTGAGATATTTAGGCTCAAAGTGGATGGGTGGCGTTCTACTAGAGTGTTTACGGTAACTGTCTCACTACATCATCCAGTCATATATGTACCAAATTGTGAGCCAAATTCATTTCAGGTCCCTTGGTGGCGTGAGGTCCCATCTGAAATGCCACCACAAAGAGAGAGGTGATTTTCTGAATGTCTGGAAGAAGCATAAGGAATTTATCCAAAATGGGGTAAGTGTATTTTATTTTAAACTTGCCATAAGACAAAAAAAAAGTGTATTTTCAATTATATGGGCGCAAATGCGAGTGAATTTGAAATATTTTTTTGGGATTTTTTTTTTTGGAATTTTTTTGAAAAAGTTTTCGAATTGTCCAAACTTCCTTATTTTCGATCAAAACACTGTAAAAATAAATTAGCTGGTTTTATTTTGTCGAGAGCTTCAAAATGAGTATAATCATGACCTAATTTTCCTTAACTTGACTCATCTGGAGGGACCATGCGCGTCTAAACCGAAAATATCAAAGTGGGCGGAGCCTAGTCGTGTTTATACTCATTTTGAAGCTCGCGACGAGCTGAGTAAGAATGTACAATTAAATTTTTATAATAGAGAATGTGAATTGAGGTATGAGGAATTTTTCAAAAAAGCGATAAAAAAATCTTTAAAAATTCCGAAGTTACCATTCCGCTCAGCGGACGTTTGGCTTCACAAAGAATTCGCTATGTTTTTCAAAAAACAGTAGTATTTATTTTCAGCTGGCTCCTCCCGCCGATGCTCCAGGAGTTCCAGAAGCTCCAGAACCAGATGCTCTAGACGTTCTCAGACAAGAATAAAGTTCCCGCCGGCGGGTTAAGGGAAGTTCCTGCCGCAGGGCAGCGGCAGGGACTTTTTTTTAGCTTGCCGGCATGGACTTTCACGCCGGCAGGTAAATGCTTTCTGTTCTTTCCCCCTTCCTCTTCCAGGGCCTTTTTCATGAAAATCAAATGAGAATATTAACAAAATATAAGTTTTTATTATCAAAAGAAATTATTTTTATCTAACAACAATGGGGGAGTAACGAATGGGGCAGAAATAAGTGTTTCCGGGCAGAAATAAGTGTTTCAGTAGACAAAGCTGGTCCCTGGTTTCCAGCAGAGCACACATAGATGACATCTTTTCTATCAATGAGTCTTCGTGCTTCTTCGACGACACGTCTGAAATTAACGTATTTTAAAATAGCATATAAAATCGCCTTAAACCTACCCAACATCTGGCAAATGTGTTCCTTCTCCAAACGACATGTTTATCACATCGACATTGAGTTCAGCGCACATGTTGAACGCTCTTGTCATCGCTTGCCCAGTTTCCATAGCCGCCAGACGATGGGCGCCAATGTTCAATGAAAGAATCTTGGCTCCTGGAGCAAGCCCGTTTTTCTGAGGATTATCGGGATAGTTGGCCGCGGCGATCATTGCCAGCTCCGGAACAATCGATTACATCGAACATTTTTCTTTCTCCAGTCGTTGTTACTTGCATTCCAGGAAGCGACGGATCGACGCCAGTATCCAAAATAGCAATCAGGATGTCTCGTCCATCATACGTCGGGTATTTTGTTAGGAACATTTCCTGAAAAAACAGTGTCAAATCGAGGATAGTGGCTGGAGACAAACCTGTTCGGTATCAGTTTTGTTGAGTAGCAACGCATCCAAAGGTTGCTGGGGAACGATTTCGGGGGGTGTAGAACTCATTTTTAGCTTCGTAGCCGCCTTCGGACGCTGGAAATCGAAGATCGGATAGAAATATTCCATAATGAGAGTTTGTTAGGTCAACGCTAGGGTTTATATAGTCGTGCCACATACCAGTACGCACAACAACGGAGTTTTCTGGAATTGCTGAGTGGACAATGATCGAGTTGAGAAGCGACAAAATGATAAATAGCTAATTCGCTGCCCGTTTCTTATCACTATCATTTATGCGAACAAAATGATTCAAAATCTGTTTTAGGCGAGCGGTTATTGATTTGCTATTTCTCTAGTTCGCCTCTTTTATTTTTGCCCAAAGTTTTCTGCAAAACAGTCAAACGTCAGCTGCTGATAAAAACGAAAAGAGCTCGGAAACAAAGGTAGAAAAATCTATAGAAATGATGAGAAAGCAGGGTGAGTCAATAAGTCCGCGAGGAGTACACAGCCGACTGTGCTCTGCGGACGATGCGTACTCTAGGCCAGCGGCATTTTTTAAAATTATTTTTCATGCATGATCATGAAAAAGGGTAGTTGTGAGGATATTTCCAGATATGTTGAGTGTAGTTACCGATTTGTCGTTTTTCGAATGAGATCCTGTAACGTTTTTTTTAACTGATAAATTATGAAATAAATACCTGTTGGAGGAGGAAACGTAGACACAGATCCATTGTTGCAAAAACGACCGCGAGGTGTTTGAGGAGTCATTTTGGGATTTTCTGGAAAATATAAGGAAATTTGCAATGTCGGAGCAATACTTTTCCTTTTCAGAATGTACACAGTGTCGGAACAAATAATTTTATATACCTCGTAAAAGAAATTCAGTAAAATAATAGACATAATCAATTTTAGCTTTAAAACAAAATAATAAAATATGCAAATTAAAATCCCGGCGAGCGGAGTGTCGTTTAGCCCGCCGGCAGGTACTTTCTCCTGCCACCACTTCAATAGCCTGCCGGCATCCTTTTTAACCCCCCGGCAGGAACTTTGTTCTTGTCTGAGTTGATGATCCAGAAGAGCAAGCTGCCGGTCCAATCGCTCCAGAAGCTCCAGAAAATCTAGACGCTGATGTTCCAGAAGAGCACGCTCAAGAAGCTCCAGAAGCTCCAGACGCGCCAGCTCAAGATCCAGAAGAGCAAGCTCTGGAACCAGAAGTTCCAGAAGATCCAGAACTAGAAGTTCCAGATGCTCCAGATGCTCCAGTAGAGGTAGCTCCAGAAGCGGACCCCATGGAAGAAGATGAAGCTGATCCAGAACATCAGCAAGCTGCCGGCCCTGAAGAAGAAGAAGAAGAGGAAGAAGAGGAAGATGAGGATGATGAAGAAGAAGAGGAAGAAGAGGAAGAAGATGAGGAGGCTCCAGAAGACCTTGACGCTCCAGAAGCTCCAGAAGCTGTTCAAGCGCCACTTCGACAACCGATTCCACCACCACGAGAATTGGCCCAATATGAGTTGTTGAAAGTCATCGGCTCTGGAACGTTTGGGACGGTAAGATTCATTTTCAACTTCAAATTGCTCATGTAAAATCAAAAATTCGAACACAAAAGCATACTTCGAAGATGAACGAGATTTCGCTGGTAAATAGTTTTTGGGGTCCTACAAAAGTGGTTCCGAATTTTTCAATTTTTTGAAAATTTCGTAATATACTAAACAGAATTAGAGCTTTATTTTTGTAGTTGACAGTACAAATCCATCTAAATGAGATATATCGTTTGGAATGTAAAAAGTCCTAAAATTACCTTCAAGGAGCTCAACCTATGCGTGTACTTTGAGCTCAATTATCTCAATATCCATAAGAGATATCAAAAATCTGTCAACTGATAAACCATTGCTAATTTTAAGATAAATATTTTATCAGTTTAAATGTTTTGTTCTATTTCGAAAAAACCGAGATATTGAGCTCAAAATACGAAGCGTACGGTCAATTTGATCCTTTTTTGGTACGAAGCGGTGTATCTCGTTTGGATGAATTTTCCCGAAAAAGTTGTCAATTAAAAAATTAAAGCGCCACTTTTGTTTAGTATAGTTTGAAATTTTAAGACAAATTGAAAAATTCTGGATGACTTTTTAGGACTCCAAAGTTGACTAGCTTCCAGTTTGGGCTATAACTTGGCTCATTTCTGAGCTATCGTATTGGGGTTTGTTCTGGACCTCCTCTTTTTCTCCAGAACATTGAATTTCAAAATACCAGTAACCCTAGAAACTAAACTTTATCCATTCCAGGTCTTCCAAGCCAAACAGATCTACTCCGAAGATATTTGGGCGATCAAAGTCGTCAAAAAGCCAAGTGAGGGCCCCGAGAGCGAGTGTCTGAAGAGGGAAATCAAGTTCCTCCAGAAAAAGTACAACTCTCCATTTCTCTGCGAAATGGAGGAAGTCTTCGAGAACACCGTCAAGGTATACTTTGTGCTGGAGTTCATGGCTGGAGGAGATTTGTTCCATTGGACTAGCCACGGACCACTCAGAGAGAAGAATGTCCGATTCTACATGTCAGAACTGGTTCTGGCAGTTGAGTTCCTCCACAAGGAGAAATATATTCATCGGGATATCAAGAGGGAAAATATCTTTGTGCACCGATCTGGACACATCAAGCTGGCCGACTTCGGACTCGTCAGACGTCTGCAGAGAGGTGAAACATTGAACAATCTTTGCGGGACCCACTTGTCGCCGGAAATGAAGCAAGCGCCGATTTCTTATGGACTCCCAGCTGATGTTTGGGCCGTTGGAGTGGTGATGTATGAACTGGCGACTGGGGAAGTGGTTCATGACAATTCGCAGCTCAAGGATCCACGAACCATGAAGCTGCGGAATGTCGGGAGGCTGAGAAAGCCTTGCAAGGACCTGTTGAAAGCCTTGCTCGCTGAGGAGCCAGAGGAGAGGCCGAAAATCAGACACGTCAAAAGAATGGAGTTCTTCGAAGGGCTGAATTGGAGAACGGTGGCCGAGCAGGTTCCTCCACGGATCCCAACGCTTGCTGACGACAACGATCTTCGATACTTCCCGCGAGACGAGAAAGCCAAGGATCCGGTGGATGATTCAACGGACTACATTCGAGTGTGGGATGGCGGTTTCATTCCCCGAGGATACTAAAGTGAGTAGAAAGCTTTTTCTGTGAGAGATATCAAAAAGTTGTCAACGGCAAAAATCTCAGAAATTGTATTTCAAACATTTCATTAATTGACAAATAGGAATCTAGATAATTGAGCTCAAAGTGCAATAGCATAATATCGAAAATTTCGAATATCTCTTTTCGAACACGACCAAGTTCTATGAAAATAACATTTTTGATTTTCTCGGGTCGAGTGCTTCGAAATGAGCCTAAACACGACTAGATTTGCCCCACTTCATTTTTTCGGGTGCGTCGCGGTCGTGCGTCGCGTGTTAGGCATCAAATTTGGAAGCTGACCGATTCTAGGCATGATTAGGCTCATTTTGAAGCTCGGTTCTTCAGAAGTCTAGAAATTTTAACATCAAGATTGAGAGATCACTTATTTAAGCATAAAATTAGATTTTCAGAATTTTGAAAATGTCAAATATCTCTTTTCGAACACGACCAAGTTCTATGAAAATAACATTTTTGATTTTCTCAGGTCGAGTGCTTTGAAATGAGCCTAAGCACGACTAGACTTACTCTTTTTTAATTTTTTTTGGTTGCGTCGCGGTCGTGCGTCGCGTGTTAGGCATCGAATTTCAAAGTTGACCGATTCTAGGCGTGATTAGGCTCATTTGAAAGCTTGTAATTTTAGAATTCTAAATAACATAATGTCGAGCTTAGAAAACTTGAAAAAATGCCATTTTTCAGAAAATAAATTTGCTCTTAATTATCTCAATTTTTGTAAAATGATAGCAAAAAGTTGCTTTATTAGTTTACAAAGTTTTGATATCTCTTATAGAAGCCGAGATAATTGAGCTCAGCGGGAAGAGCTGAATTTCGAAAAATTGCTGATTTAGGACAGAAAAATAGGAATTCTGAAAAATTGCTTGTGTTTTTTAGAGGTCATGTCCATTGTGCTGCCAACAGCTTCGTCTACTTCTGCCCCTTCTCCATCAGCTTCAATCTCGAATCCTCAAAGTGTCGTCCAAATGTTTACTGGTCATGAACTTTTTTCGCAATAACTTTTCCCTCAATAGTAATACCTTTCAGTGATGGGAGGAATTTCCGTTTCCGTTTCCGTTTTCCGTCCGGTTTTTAGAAAAATTTTCCGTTTCCGTTTTCAGCGGAAAAAGAAATTCCCTTTCCGTTTCCATTTCCGTATTTCGGAAAAATGCGTTTCCTCCCAAGGTATCAGTACCTTTAAAGGTGGGGGGACATGAGAAAAATAATGTTGTCGAAATTTCGTTTAAATATGCTCCTCGAGGAGTTGAACTTGTCGAGGCGAGTGTTGAAGGTGCGGCGTCACTACCGACTGAGCTACGTGTGCAAAAAGAAAGCCGCTGCCCGAAAAAGAAAGCCGCTGCCAGCTTTTTCTTGATATCTGCAATCTCTGACTCATTTTTTTTCGAAATGTTCTTAATAACATTTTCCCTCACCAACTTCCCAATCGATAGATTTTTTTTCAGTTGCAATTTCATCAATAACTTTTCCCTCAGTCCACTTAGCTTTAATAGAAATTCTCTTAATAGCTTACCCAGATTTTACGGTATTCTCTCGGTTTTCTCAGTTTCCCATTGATTTTTTAACCATTTTTTCTTATAGTTCTCCATGGACCATCATTCTTTCGTGCATTTCCCTGTACTTCACTTGTGTTCAGTTTCTCATGACCATCCTTAAATCTCTCCGGTAAAGTTCACTCATTTCCCAAAGTCTATGTACATATCTTTGTCTTTTTCCATAATTGTTTAATTTGTATGCAACTTTTTTAAAACATATGTCTTGCTAATAAATTTCTTGGAATTTATGATCTCGACGTTAACATTTGCAAATTTTTATAAAGTTTTGAGCTTTAAAATGAGCCTAATCATGCCTAGAATCGGTCAATTTTCAAATTTGATGCCCAACACACGACGCACGACCGCGACGCACGCCGAAAAATCTAAATAGGGTAAATCAAGTTGTGTTTGAGCTCATTTTAAAGCTCTCAGCGTAAAAAGCTCAAGCAATCTAGTTTCATGGAGTTTGGTGGAGTTTGAAAAGAGATATTTAAAATTTTCGAAATTCTGAAAATCCAATTTTATGCCAAAACTCAAAAATCAGTAGACTGTCAGAGTTGAGCTTAGCATTTTTAGATTTCTGAGATTCTTAGCTTCAAAATGAGCCTAATCTTGCCTAGAATCACTTAACTTTCAATTTGGATGCTTGACACGCGACGCACGACCGCGACGCACCCAAAAAACAAAGGGAAGCGATTCTAGTCGTGTTTAGTCTCATTTTGAAGCTCTCAACGTAACAAACTTTAAAAATTTAGTTTCATAAAAATTTTTAAAGTTTGAAAAGAGATATTTCGATTTTTTGAAATTCGGGAAATCTAATTTAAAAACTGATAACTTTATTACTTCATAAACATGTGAAACATCTCAGTATTGTAATAATCCCAATGATCATCCCAATAGAAAATCGAATAATCGGTCCAGAACGCACCAATTATAAATAGCAAAATAGTATAAATAACAACAAATAGAGCGGCTATCCATGAGTTTGCGTTGCGACCCAACATGAAAAAGTAGGGAATTAAAGCAATAATAAAGACAAATCCGGCGAAAAGAGCATAGATGATTTGATTCGAGTATACGATTTTGAAAAATTTGTCCGTCCAATGGGAGCAAACGACTTTGGGCTGGACCACAAGGTGAAGAGCTCTACGGCGAAGCTTTGACATCTTGGCTCCAATGACCATCAGTTCGGTTTCATCGTTGATAGGGAGGATCAGAGCGTAGCCAAGGGCGACTCTTCTTCTGGAATTTTCGAATAAATCATAAATATTTTTTGAAAATAAGTAGTTTTTCAATATTTCTCAAGTTTCGAGCTTCAAAATGAGCCTAATCATGGTTAGAATCGGTCAAATTTCAAATTTGAGGCCTAATACGCGACGCACGACCGCGACGCACAAAAAAACGTAAGTTGAGCGATTCTAGTCGTTTTTAGGCTCATTTTGAAGCTCCTGACGTAAGAAACTTCAAAAATTTAATTTCAGTAAGTTTGGTGGAGCTTGAAAAGATATATTTGAAATTTTCGAAATTCGGAAATCGAATTTTATACCAAGTTTGGAAAGAAGTGGTTTTTTGAGGTTGACATTACAATTTTCAGATTTGTGGCGTTTCTAGCTTTGACACAAGCCTAATCATGCTTAGAACCGCTTAACTTTCAAATTTGATGCCAAACAAGCAACGCGCGACCGCGACGCACCCGAAAAAATGAAGGTGAGAAAATCAAGTCGTGTTTAGGCTCATTTTGAAGCACGAAACGTAAGAAAGTCAGAAAACTTAGTTTCAAAAAAATTGGTGGAGTTTGAAAAGAGATTTTTGAAATTTTCAAATTCGGAAAATCTTGATTTACACCAAACCTCAAAAGTAAGTAGTTTTTCAAGGTTGACATTAATATTTTCAGATTTCTGGCGTTTCTAGCTTCGAAATGAGCCTAACCATGCCTGGAATCGATCAACTTTGAAATTTGATGCCTAACACGCGACGCACGACCGCGACGCACCCAAAAAAGCAAAGTTGAGCGATTCTAGACGTGTTCAGACTCATTTCAAAGCTCTCAACGTAATAAACTCAAAAAATAAAGTTTCAGAAAGTTTGGTCGAGTTTGAAAAGAGATATTGGAAAATATGCATACCTATAATATCCTCCAATCTCTTTCTTGATTTGGTCCACCTCTTCATCCACCTTCTGCCTTCCTCTTTCGAACGAAAAGCAAGTTCCAATTTCTTTTCCATTCTCCATCCAATATTTGATTAAGTCCACTATTTTTTCTCGGTTGTATATATCATAATCAATGAAAATGTTTTTATTTGGGAGCTTTTGAAATTCCGAGAGCCATAGTTCTTCGTCGTCTTCCTCGTCTTCTTCATCAGAATCATCGTCAGAATCTAAATTCTCAGAATCCTCATCATGAACTCCCCAAATTTCCACATTCTGTGCTGTTCGAAAAACTAGATTATGGAGATTATGGAGCTGCGCATTTTCCAGTTTCAAAGTCTCCAATGGCAAACATGAGGGATCTAGAATTGGAAGAATCTCTTCGAAATCCGTCCTCTCGGAGTTAAGAGTTTTAACCCAGATTTTCAGATTCTCAGGGAGTCTTAAAATATCTCCCTTCTTCAAATCCAACACCAACTCATCTGCCACTTTAATAGGGGTTTTTCGTCCACCCAGTAAGAAGTTGAACAACTTTTTCAAAGCCATATGGATTTCTAGGTTCTGCGGAAGCTTTCGAACAGTTTCATCTCCAAATTCATTTACAATTCGAAGTTTAACAAATTTCCGAAATTTCGGAAAAGAATTCCCTCCAATTTGAATTTCTCCTGGTTCCAAGGCTTCTCTGGATGATTTATCCTTGATTTGTTCCTGATTTTCTAGATATTTTTGTTTACAATGGCTTAGGATGTAGTAGGTGTCGTTGATTTGGATACTGTTGGTCCGGAATTCTAGAAAAGCTAGGCGAAGTGTTGTAGATTTGTCGATGGCATGGAGAGAGGGGCATCGGGAGGTTAGATCGATTCTGAAAATCACATTTTTGAGCTTCAAATCAAGTTTAAGTACGCGAGAATAGCTGGAAACTTGAAATTTTCGATATTCGGGAAATCAAGTGTTATGCCAAAACTCAAAACTGAATGATTTTTCAAGATCGACGTTAATATTTTTAGATTTATCATGTTTTCGGCTTTAAAATAAGCCTAATCATGCCTAGAATCGGTCAACTTTCAAATTTGTTGCCTAACACGCGACGCACGACCGCGTCGCACCCCAAAAAAGAAGGAGAGCAAATCTAGCCGTGTTTAGGCTCATTCTGAAGCTCTAAACGTAAGGAGCTCAAATATTCACATTTCATGAAATATGGTTGAGCTTGCTAAGAAATATTTGAGATTTCCAAAACTCGGGAAATCTAGTTTCATGCCTAAACTTAGAACAAAATAATCTAAACTAGACAATTTTAGACTCATTTCAAAGCCATCGTTCTCTAAAACTCAAAAGTTTCTTTTTCAACACCTCAAACTCAAAACCTCACCTCTTATTCGCTTCCATAAACTCTAAAATCGGTCCCATTGCTGGATAGGCAAGTGTGACAGACATTGCAAGTAGGGAATGTAAGACAAATGAATGAGTAGACGTCAGAAGAAGAGGGAGGGGGGTTAATAAGGCTCTTCTGACACACACACACACACAGTTGCTTTGGAATGACCTTGATGACGTGGCAAACACCATCTGTCACCTTAGAATGTATATGTGCTGCATTCCCATTGGATTGGATCAGGTGGCATCGCTGGATAGGTAAGTGCGACGGACATTGCAAGAAGAGATTGTAAACATAGGTAAAATGCGAACGGGTCCGTTACGGACGCTTCGCGTTCGCGCGCGGTTGAATTAGGAACCGCATACGGACCGCACGCGAACCGTTTTTAGGAAATCGCAGTACATTATTCCGAATAATCCGTATTCTGTCCGTTCGCGAGCTCCGTATCCGATCCGATTGCGAATCAAGACCAAACGGATCCGTTTGCGAATCAAAGAATTCCACCACAGGGCGAGAATCAGATCGCC